CGGACCTTCCTGAAAGCTCAGGCTCTGCTTTTTGGAGGCTACAGGGACGCGCTGCACAATCACTCAAAAGGTGTATTAATATTTCTTATAACAAAAATTAAAACAGTAGGGTAAATGATGAATAGAGTGCCATTCATTTACAGTCCTTCAAAGGGGTACACGCTGTGCTTGCTGTTATTTACTGCCCTCTGCTGGACAGATACTGCAATTCTAACACTGGAGAGGGGCCTGTTGAGCAAAGCATTACAGTAAAGTGAAATGTTGCAACTGTTGTCAACAAATGTCTCTGACATCCTTTGATGCATTTGCATAGAATTACTGATACATTAGTTGTGATGTCAGTTGGACTAAGTCATCCTCATCTTAAAGATGATATATTATGATCAAATAATAATTAAGAAATGATCAAACTTTTGTTTTGTTTTGAAGTTCATTGACGGCCGCCTGGATATTCTGAACAATGAGAAGGAACCAGATGATCTCTTTGAGGAGGAGATCTTTAAGTGTGAAACAGCTGCAGGTGCGTGTATGTGTCTGTGCATGTGTGTGTGTGTGTGTGTGTGATTTCACATTACTCACTTACCACATATCCTCTTGTGTTTCTGTATGTTTATAGGAAGAAGCAAATCCTATCAACACTTAGTTGGTCATTTAAAGGTTACCATTCCTGTTTCTTATCCTTGTGTTTCAGAGCCGTGTCATAGGAAAATACAGAGCAAAATCAGAATGAGGAGGTAGCTGAGGGGAACAAGTGAAATGCAGATAAATGAAGCAAGAGAAGAAGAGGGGAAAGATAAGCAGGAGGAGAACATTAAAGAGGTGACTTTAAACAAACTTGTAAAAATGGATCCCCATCACCCCAACCCGGAGGACAATCTGAAACCCACAGCTTCTCCTGGGCCTCGGAGTCTCATCCTTGACCCTAAACCTCCAGCAGCTCAGGTAAAGAAAGAGCAGCAGGAGGTGAGACAGAAGCCCTCTCCTCCTAAGGTGCTACCTGCTCTAGCACGCTTCCAGTCTCAGCATAGCCGGGGCTTTCAGGTGAAGTCCAGGACCAAGGAGCTGGCTGAACCTGAGAGACTTTGCAACATGCTTCTAAGCAGGTAGAAAGCACAAACGCACCCGCCATGTGACTCAAATATATCACAGGAGAAAAAACGCTCTATGGGGCATGACTGTGAAGACCTGCCTCCAATCAAAGTGAACTGAAGAAGCGATTTGAAGTACTGGAGTAAAAGGAGTCATCACTCAGTACACGGGAAACAAGACCAAGACTTCCTCTATTCACAACTGTTATTATCTCCACCAGACTTAAGCGTGTAGGAGATCATGCGTTTGGTCCTGTGTGCATGCGTGCTTGTATCTGTTTGTCCGTCCACCAAATCTCGCACACACTGGACCCCTCAGCCTAATATGTTTTGTGTTCATTTCTGACTGTATGTTTTAGGACCTCTCATAGTTACGGTGATTCACAATTTTTGAAAAAACTATTTTATTGACTGTTTTATACCATCATTGATGGCTGACACCTCACTTAACCGGCCACAAGGGGCTGCAAGTGATCAATGACTGCTTCAGAAGCAAACAGCACTTTCCACAAATCAGCTAGGCCAAAAACAGGCCTCACTTTTGCAGGCAACATTTTGTCTTTTGTCATTATCTAATTTTGAACTGGAGCATCTGCAGATTAATTCCATACCACACTTTATACCCTGTGATCCAATAAAGTTAGGCACTATACAAGATGAATAAGTCCCCCTTTGACACCATCGTGACTCTGAGGGAGCCTAGAAGGACAACTGAGTGAGATTCAACTCATCTTTGTTTTGGAGGGGAGAGGGAGACACACCAGGCGGAGATCTGCACTCTACTGAATGCACTTTTCCAGTTATGTGTGTGTATTTTATGGTGCCTGAAATGCATAAAAACAAGAGGTTTTCTACACACTGACTACAGAATATTATAACAGTCACATGACCCAAAATAGAATCACCGTCCTTCAACCCTCAGCAGCAAAATGAACCTCTCTCTCTATGTCAGTTCATTACAGGATGTTTGCGGTGACGCCTCGTATGGAGTTAGTGGAGAGGGATGATGCAACGCAAACTGATGCTTCTATTTCCATCGAGTTTGTGGTATTGTGATCTATCTATGATAAGCACAGAATTGAAAGTGATATCATATAATAAGTTGTAACTGGGGGTACAAATAAATGTCTCCCTCTAGTGGTGGATTTGCTCATTTAAGGAAGCCTTTTCCTTCCTTTGGAAACAAACACACTTTAGAAGTAGCTGAAAAAAAGTCACTAGCATACAGTCTGTTGGAGCTATTTATTTGATATTAGTATTTTGTTATTTAATTAATAAGTAGTTTTGTTTAATTATGCTAAATGTTTGCTTATTTAGGTTAGATTGATTGTTTGATATATTAATATTGCTTTTTCTCTTTAATAGTCATTTGTTTAGTTATATAATTTTTTTGTTGTTTAAGTATACTTAGTTTTGGGTTAGTGCGTTTGTTAGTTCTTTGGGTAACACTGTGGGCACCTGTGGCTATATATAGGAGTAGGTAGGTAGGACCAGCATGCACCGGGGTGGGCCTATAGTTTTTACCAGCACAGGAGAGTAAGACAGGAGTTTTCTTTGTTCTTTTTGTTTGTTTGCTTGTTTTGTTTGGCTTACTTAAATAAAGAAGAAAAATTGGAATCCTGCATGGACAATCTACTCTCTTCTGCCTGCGTAAAAAACCAACCACGGTGCATCAGTGGCGTTTGATTATCTAATATGAGGAGCATCATCTTGAAACTTCCTTAAGGGAAAGGTGGAGAAATGTTGCTTGTGATCTGCAAGAGCGAAGTGGCCGGAGAGCACTGCTTAATGACCTTGTTGCCTTCATTGAAAAACAAGTTAGAATTGCCTCAGATCCACTTTTTTTGCAACATTCAGGACTCACAACCCACTAACTTGAAGGTCCCCAACGTTAGTCACTTGAAGCAAAGAAAACAGGGAAGCAGCTTTGCCACCAGTTACTGGAGTAAAAGGAGTCATCACTCAGTGCATGGGAAACAAGACCAAGACTTCCTCTATTCACAACTGTCTGTTTTGTTCACAAAGTTGTCACTCATTGGATAATGTTTTGTTCACAAAGTTGTCACTCATTGGATAAATGCGGACAGTTTAAAGTGAAAGGACATTGTGATAAAATAAACTTTATCAAGGAACAGGGTATTTGTTTTGGTTGCCTGAAAGTAGGCCACACAAGCAAAGACTGCAGATGTGTGTCACCAAAAGCACCCAGGAGTCCTTCACATAGAGTGACAAGATACAAGAACAACCTTTCAACAAGCCCAACAGTCTGTGAGCCCTCCAAGTGTCTCAACCACAATGTCTCAGACCTGCGGCCATATTGGGGCTGGTTATGAAGATAATTCCATCTTTTCTATTGTCGTAGTCAAAGTCAAGAGCCAGAGGGGTGAGAAAACGGTGCAGACATATGCCTTTTTGGATCCAGGGAGTTCCGGCACATTCAGTACAGAGAACTTGGCAAGAAACTTGAACTTAAGGGGTAAAAAGACAGGTATTCTGCTGAGAACAATGAGTCAAAAGAAGATTGTAAATGCACATATTCTGTCAGGTCTTGAAGTGTCTTGAAGTGGGTATGAGTTCAAATGATTTCATTGAGTTATGTGATGTTTTAACTCAAAAGAGCATGCCTGTTTCTACACTCAACGCCCCACGAGAGGAGGATCTTGATCAATGGTCTTATCTCAAGGATGTTAATGTGAGTACCTCATGTCTCCATACAACGTTTTTTCTTTTCCCTCCACTGCTTTTAGAGCAGTATTAAAGAGGATATTGTATTGCAATGTAGAGCTAGTTAGTCCTTGCATTATAAGTATGGAAAGGAAAAATGTTCAATCAGATTTGTTTCGTTCTAATATACATACATACATGTATGTATACATGTTTATATATATTCTAATAACTTGGTTGCTTCGGTTAGATATATTTGTAATGTAAATCTGTCTTCAGTAATGTTTGCTGGGGTCGCTGGAGTTCACCAAAAATAATAACCAGCTGCACAGAGTGGCTTAAGTTACCAAAAACACCTTCAGTCGGTAAATATACGTATTATTTCTTAGGTAATGAGGTAGTGTTACACGGACATGCTGGCTATTGCATTTTACGTTAGAGCAGATAGACTCAATGTTTAATCCATTACTTATATCTTTGCTCTTGTGTTTTTAGTTTTCGAATGGCTGAAAAAAAACTATTTGAATATTGCTTCAGCAGCTGGAACGACCTGTCGGATCTTGTTACAGGTGCTAAACCAAAATAGCAAGTGCTGTTCGAGGGGAGGGGTTTATCGAATGGTCAATTGTGCTAAAATGACTCTTTCGAAGTGACACATTTGAAATTGCAACATTTGCTGCCAACCCTTGGTTTGTCATTTCCTTGGAGCATAAAAGCCACACTCATGCAACTACAGACCACAGAAAAGGTCAACCATTTACTTTCCTTTTGTTAATAAAGGCCTTTGAAGAAGCCAGACCATGTTGTGACAAATCCCAGCCTTTCTTTGATTGTCAAACCTTGCTATGCATTACATTTACCCGCCGAAATATTAAAGTGATGTAGCCTATACATGAATGCATCATTAATCATCATCCATGTATAATGTGCATTATTCTGAAATGGGCTATTCTGCAAAATTAGTACTTTACGAATATTTTGATGCAGACACTTCCTATTTTGAATGAAGTCAAATTTTAATGCATGGCTTTGAATAATAACATGACATTTATACACTGTGGCATCGAATTTTCTACTGAATTAAAAGGTCTGAGCCTACTCACACCACGGCTGCCCAGCGACACCCGCAGGTGGGGTTGTGCGGTGTTACTACCAGGCGTCTCCTTTGGGGTGTAGTGGGATTTGGGAATCCCTGGGTCTGAATCCAGTCCGGGTTTTCCGCCCTGCTCCCGGCCACCTTATCCGTAGCACTATGTGTCTCTGTGTGAGAGAAGCCGACTCTTGTTTACAGCAGAGATTCCACGGAGGAGCGCGGACCCACAGCCTGCGTTAACTGAGGGCGAACCGTTGGATTTCAGCCTCTGGATATACACGCAGCGGGAGTTTCCGTTTTCTCTCTTTTTATGAGGATAAAGACCAAACGCGAAACATACGCAAAGGGCAACTCCTTGTGGACACATTCTCCCTCCCAACCCCAGCTGAGGTCGTCTAGCAGGAGAGCTGGAGACCCATTCTCTTGCGTGGCACAAGTCTGGTGTTTTCTTTCAGCTGCAAATCCCGACTGACGGCAGAGATAAGTCCGACCCGAGGAGCTGGACAATTGGGTTATAAAGCGACTTCTCACCGAGGGCCAGGACTGCTTTGTGGGGATCGAGAGCCTGTGCTGGTTAAATGGCATAAGCAAAAAAAAAAAAGAAGGGGAAAAAAGGGTTTTCATTCATTTTTCAACCTCGCAGCCACCACCCCTGTGGATCTGGACGTGTTTTCTGCCCCATTCCTCCCCTCATACACAATCACGGGGATCCTTGTTAGCGACTGGCGTTAATTTATTATGGTGGGAAAGGATCCCAATAATAACATCTAGTCTGATATTTGTTGTGTTGTTATTACCAGGCCTGATCGCACTGTACGCGCACTGCTGTTTTCAAGAGATGGAGACTGAAGATGGGGATTACCATCATTTATCCAGTAAAATCACTGGCTTGTGTGCCATAACAGCCGACGTCAAAGTATCCTGTGATTGGCAAAAATAGCAGACTGTTTTATTTTTATTTTGTTCTTCAAAGGAATATCTTATCAAAGCGATTTTGTACACATTTATTTATATTTTTTTAGAGTAAATCCTGGAAGCCACGCATTTGCAGGCTGCCATAGAGTACCCCTTTAGGGCTACAGACATTTGTTTCCCCTCTTTTTCATATTCCTTTTTGAAGAGCTGGTGTGTATATTTTTCATTATTTTACTTCAATTCCATCCCTGCCTTTTTATTTTTTGAACATGAGATCTGACACACGGATGGGTAGCCCGACCTTGTTTTGGGGTCTGATGCTCTCTGTCTCTATCTGCATCTGGTCCACACATGGAGAGAGTAAGTCTTTTTTTTGTTTTCATATTTTGTTAAAGTTTATACATAATGTGCTTTTTTGTGTCTCAGTTCAACCTCTTGTAAAGCAGTCTTTTGCTGACGAGCGGGATACATAATGGGTTACACTGTGTTTATTGAAACAAAATGATGGGGAACACCTTCTCTTTTTTACCTCAGGTCTTAGATACTCAATACTACAAACCTAATGAGCATATAGCTCACCGACGTGCGCCTTTTACTTGCATATTAGCGGAGGACCATGTGGTACAGCTGCCCGTCAGGTTAACACGTTCAAGCAACATCTGCTTTATTGTGCGCAATGTCGCCACATTTGATGAAGCGGTTGTTTATCTAGAAACAGGTAGAGCTATAGACACACGTCGCCGTAATCTTCACGTCAGACATCCAGAGAGCAGAGGATGAATCTAGGGACCAGAGCTGAAGGTTACTACGACCATGTGGCCATTTTGCATTTCGTTGTGTGGCGTCGCTGCGCATGAAAATCCTCAATCAGACACAAACCTTAATTTGCTTCTTAAAATGCCATACATAAAAAAAAAAAAAACAACAACAACATGCAAATAAAATATTAAAAGGCTTACTTCAGCCGACTATGTTCACAAACAGCCGTGATTAAACATAGCTTATTGTCGGAAGTAATGATGTTGTCCAAACCCCTTTCTCATTAAACTATAGGCAACTACTCTGCGTGCAGCTATGTGTGTAGCGTCAATTAATGCAAGCCATAACATACAGGAGCTCCTGAGTGCGGGCGCGTTTCCCATCCAGTCCTAACATCATGTTTTCACTCTGTTAATAAAACACTAGAGATGAAAAATGACAAGACAGAGACGCGTATTGAAAAACAACACAGAGGAGTAGGTGAATGTTTTTTTTATTTTCAAATTTTAGAGGTTTTATTTTCTCTGTTAAGATTTCCGTTTGAGTGCTTTATGTACTTTACGAACCAATAACAGACTTGCACTGATTATTTCTCATGGAATCCCCTAAAATGTAGGCGCTTTTCAAAGTACTTTCTGTTTAGTCATGTTAAATGTCCTCAACTTTTTACCCATTTCAGTGCCCTCGCTGTTATTTCAATGTTTTGTTTTGATGGTTTAAAATGTAGAATGTGCTCATCAATGCTTCAGCGAGCATATTGCACATGTCTCATCTAATCTAAAGCAATTTGAAGTAATCTCATCTAATATAGCAGCTGGAATCAAGGTTTTTTTTTTTTTTTTGCCAATGCTATAATAGAACGACTGGGAATTCACAATTCATTGCTCAGCATATAAAGGCCTATACAGCCCTTTAAAAGAAAGTTCTCCAACTGCTTGGTGATGATGTAAACTATTAGGCTTTTCAGTTGAATCTCTCTAAATACCATGTTGGGCAAAGATAATACCAAACTAATCTGTCTTTAAAAAAATCTTAGCCCAAAACAAACTGTAATTTTAAAAACGATTTAGCCAATTTTGGTATAACGTCTGTCATACTACTTCCACTTTAAAACTTCTTCAAAGTCACATTCCTTTTGAACTAAGAGAAGTTTAATGTGTTTATTTCAATTTACAGTCATTGGACTGCTGCTCAGTAGACATCAAGACCCCTCCAGTTCCACCTTGAGCCCAGAGATTGTGTGTCTGCGTAACCTGGGTGGCATGATTTTTTTTTTGTGTGTGTGTGTTTAGGGCGTTGCATCACTTCCGTACTAATTTGCCTGTTTCCTGAGAGGACATGTGGGATGGTGGAGACAACTTGACATGGGAGGGAGACATGTAGACTGACCTCTATTAGCATTCAAATAGAAGAAAAAACTGTTTTCGTCCTACTGACCAGTGGTCCGACCTCAGCCATGTGGGGGTGCGTTTCTGTGCACCCTCCTGAGTTAGTGAGACACCCATGAACGCAGCAGGGGCCTGGGAGACAAGTGGTTTCCCTCAGATCTTGATGCTTTGTGGTGTATAATACATCAGGCTTTTCAGAACAAAGCATTCATAGACAAAGACTGTGGTGAATATCAAGACAGGGATGAGTCTTACCAGTTTATTGCTTGGGGATGATGTTTACTTCACTGGGCTGCAGAGAGTCAAAATATATCTATCATCACTTAGTGGAAAAACACAGATATCCAAGAGCTCCATTAGGTGTTGAAAACCTTTTTTTTTTTCTCTCTTATTCATTTTGATAATCTGTCCACACCAATAATATCTAATTAAGATCCCTTTTAACTCTCACCACAAGTAAACTTTCCATGCCGTGGCTTCCAGGTGTATGCAGCAAACAAGTCTCTAAAAGGGAGAGAGCGTGAGGTAGATAGAGACTCGATGTTTAGAAATGTGCAAAAATACACTTGCAAGAGCAACAGACTTGGTTCTGTTGATTGGAAGAGTAGAGAGTTTGTGAACTGTTTTATTGGCTTTTGCTGTTCGTACGGAGCGGTCTCCTGTACAGACCGATGCGCTTAACTTCATCACTTGGCATCACTACTATTAGGGTTATAAATAGATATGTCACCAACAACATTGGCGCAGGGGTTGTGTGAGTACAGGCACCCTCTGTCCCGTTCCATGAGGGCACACCAGTGTTCTTGTGCAGTTATTTATGAAGGGACATGTTGCTCCGGAAAACTTGAATGGCTGCATAAATAATCGAACGTCAGCAAGCATTGTCCTTGACAGGCATCCCTCCCACCACTCCATTTGGGGTATGGCTTGTTGCAGTACTCTCCTTGTTGTGATCCGGCAAGTGGCTCAGATATATATATATATATTTTTTAATTAAACAAATTGCACATGTAAAAGTTCACAAACAAATTAGAAACACTGCAACATGCATACATTCAAACTAGCGTGCCAGAGGGGCAAGTGGCTCAGATATGACTGCTGTAACTCTACTCCAAGGTGCCCCAATCCATCTTGTGACTGGGGCTACACGGTTACATGCACTCCCCCCAGCCTTCCACCATGCGTTCCCTTCCCCTATTCCTGGCTTGGCTGGATGCAGGAATGCCTTGTATCCCCCCCCCCCCACTGCCAAGTGTAGTGAGTGTTCATAGCCCTATGGTGTGTGTACTAGTTTGTTTGTGTGCATGCATGTGAGTTTATTGTGCAGCTCTCTGTGTGTACTGCAGCAGGACTCGGCGTGACAGCCTGAGTCAGTGGCGTGCCCCTGTGTAAGGATGTGAAAGTGTGTCACTGGGCTAGTTTGTGAGAGTGCAGTCAAATGCTGTCCTGCAGCTCCTCCAGGCTGCCAGCTGAGGTTTACAATGCTTAATTAAACACGTTATTTCAAGTGGCCTGCTTTGGATTTGCTCAAACGCAGTCTCCGGCCAACCGCACATACATCATCATTGGCTGCCGTTTTATTGGCCTGTGGAGCATTGTACAATTTATGAGATGATTGCAAATGTTAGCTCTTCCAATGGATGGCACTTGGTGTATCAGTTGAAAGCTGTTCATCAAGAACTGAATGTGGATCTGTCCCGAGTGGAGAATTCATCAGCCAAAGATTAATCTCAGAGGTGTTTTCAGAATCTCAGCGAGAAACCTCTTCGTTGTTTCATGTTTCGTTGTTTCAATCGTCAGGTCATCACTTGGTTATTTGTGTTTAATGAAGGATAAAGGAAGACTGTAAATGCTGAGGTGCAAGTTGTATTTGTATATGCATGTGATTTTCAGCATAGGTGCATGAAATATAGCAATACACTGTCATAAAGGGCTATAGCTTCAGATTAAATCTATTCATTAGGAGAACGCCTGAAATGATGCTTTATTATTCACTTTACTTTGTTTTCTTTTATGGATTTCATTCTTATACACCAGAGAGGCCATGTAGTGAACCTGGCAGAAACTTGTGTTTCTATTCACAAACGGCTGCATCACAAGCAGTGGTATCAAAAATAATTGTGGGGTGACTCCAAGAAAGGATGTTATGCTACAACATAGCCAAGAAAGTAATACATTTATCACCACTTAAATTTAAATGCTGATAAAGTTCCTCAATTTTCCCCTCTCTTACTTTGTAAGTTTCCTGCAGCGTCAATATATCCTTGCAGACATTAACCCTAAATAGAAATCCCTGCAAACCATATTTCACTGCAATCGAGCAGTAAATGAAATGTGGTTGTTTATAATGATCACGTTTTACTGTTCATGTACAGTATAGAGTATGTTGCCTCCTGCCCTACCCTTATTCTGGGAGAGGAGGGGGTGGTCTTTGCGAGACATTTGTTGTGATGGAGAGTGTAATGTTACTGTTTGGGGTTTTGGTGAAATCTGAGCCACAGTGTTTGAAGTATGGTCCACTGAGGGGAAGTGGCCCACCAGACCGCTGGTCAGATGACTTCCAGTGTGCTGGGGATTAGGGCCAGTTGATGTGACAGGTGTGAGGGGATATGACCACACAGTGACCAGCTCCCTCACTGCAACAGCAACTGGATTTTAGTGGGACATTTTTGTGCCGGTTGTTCTAGTTCAGTGAGTTAAATCTTTCTAACATTTGTTCATGCCATATATGCATCTATGTGCACCTCTCATAAGTAGAAGAAGATGCTTTGTGATTGCCTATGGACTAGATCTGAATGTTGAGTTGAAAAAATCAAATCTACTAAAAATTAAAACAACGTACATTTGACACTTTTATTATATGTATATTATATTACATATAATCATAACAAACATGTCTCTCAATTAGTACTGACTTTGATATATTGTTTAAGAAGGATGATGTCAAACACAAGATAAGACATTTTAACATTTTCTTTCATACAAGATGCATATTTTTAAAATATTTCCTACACCAGACATTTTCAATCTTTGGGTGCGTTTGCACCCATGTTGGGGTCACACAACATGCAGACAGTGTGGCATTCTCAAAACTGATAAAGCTGTATTTGTTTGATATGGTTTTAATTGGATTGTTTTTTTTTTTATATATAGCATATTATAAATATCTCAGTGGAGCTCTCTCAATGCTACAGAATACAACTATACTCAAATTCTAAAATGTTACAAATAATAGTGGTTTTACTATATTCTCCAGTAGAAGTACTTAATATTTGCAGGCCCCAGTGTGATACTTTATCGTTTTTCGACATAATCAAAAACTAATATAGTTACTCGCATAATAACTCTTCAGAGGAATCTTCCTGATAACCTTCATGGAGTTTACAGCTGGATGTCTGAAAAAGAACAACATTCTGTTTTCCCACAATGCTAAGTGAGTCTCTGGCCTTTTGATAAACATTACGACATGTGGTCTGAAAGTCATTTTTCTGCAAAGCCAAAACTATGATTTAGTTTATTTACATATAAGGTGTTTACTGAATCAGAATCGCAGTTTATGTGAAGTTAAGATAAACAGTGACCATTAGCTTTGCCTTGATTTGACTGACTTAGGGTCATGTTTGAGTGTGTGTGTGTGTGTGTGTGTGTGCATGTGTGGTGACATTTCCCTGGAGGGCCAGGGCAAGGTTTATCAATCATAAACATGAGCCGATGGATCGCATTACGCTGTGGAGATACGTGTGTTTACTCAGCAGTGTGAAGAGCAAAGAGAGACAGGAGGGAGAGACAGACGCATGTATGCCGGCATATCCCTCTTTGTGGACACTGCTGCTAAAAGCATCACATCACTCCTTGGTCATTATTATATGTCAGCGCTTTCATTTTTTTTCCCCACCACTTCTTCCTGTTTATGTAGCAATAAATAAAGGGTTTGGTATTCACATTTGATTCATGCATTGTTGTCTTCACGACAAATGGATTCACTGGAAAGAACCGGAGAAGCCTGGAGGCTTAGGCTACAGCCACATGAATATGTTTCCGTTTAAAACCGGGTATTTTAGTTTTGAGGCAACATCCTACTCAATCCTTTTCCAAGGAAATGATTGGCATTCCTGGTACTTAACATGTCTAATGAGTAGAACAAGGGAATCACAAAGAGGAGGCGTTTCTTTCATTGTGCTTTCCTTTGCTCTATTCTTCTCTCTTTCTATTCAGCAGTTTTTAGTATAAATCAATTAGAGGTAGTGGTAAAAGACACAGGAATACATTTAATGCATTTAGCAGTTTCTGTTGGTTGTGTTTTTACACCAGTAGGATGGCCTCCGATAGAAACGCATGGCAGAAACCTTATCTCTCTTTTGTCACAGTGTCTTTCCGCTCCCCCTCCCATTCTCTGGTCAGATGCCGCCTGATTTTATTAATGCCCTCATCAGGAAGTGGGGCCTAGAGTCTCTCTTTACCAACAAACAAATTAGTCTTTGTATTGGAGTGGCTCCACCCCCTCCTCCCTCTCCCTCTCACTCCGGCTGCTGGAGAAGCTGGGAGAAAATTCTGAATGAAACAAAGAAGACATGCAGTTCGATGGCTCACAAGTGGAGCCCAGGGGCATTGGTGTTGATTGGAGAAAGTAAATACTGTTTTCTTGTGGAGTAATCGTTTCCGCTCTAAATTTGGAGAAGTGAAAGACCCCGACAGGACCAAATATAGCCCACTCACGCACATAAACAATGCAGCTTCTATTTTTGGCAGGATAGTCTGAACAAAGAACCTCAAACATTGCCTTTTTTTGTTAAGTTAATTTACTCACAGGGACATTTTGAGAGCACTTACACATCATATGGTTGAATAAATACCGAGGAGAGGTCACTTATGTCTTTTTTTGAAATCTCTACAACCATTTTAGAAAGACATCTGGTGGCACAGTGTTTATTTTAGGACTAGAAACAGTTCAGCTCTTTGCGTTATCCCTAGTGATTTGACAAGGATCAAAGACTCCCATTGAAAACATGCCTGTTTGTCTCTTGGACCGGCCGCTGTGACAGTGTCTCTCACTGCGATGGCGTCCTAAGCCTCTGTAAGAACATAACAGGTTTAACCAAGGAGCTCATATGTCAAGGCATTTCCTGTGCTGAGTGGTGAACCTTCTTTTAGACAGTTCAAAATATTATGCAACCTGTTAGCTTCAGTGCCAATTCTGTAACTATATAAGTCATTTATTGTTCATAAATAGTTAATGCAATGCATGTATTTATGTAAGGGAGTTTAGAGATTTTTACCTGTTAGGTTTTAAAGAAAAACTTTTCAGCTCGGTGGCATTTGAGCAGTGATTCTTAAACATGAGTAGGCTTGAACCTCAGGAGGTACAGTTGCTTGGAGGTATGTGGAAAGATTGCATAGCAGCTCAACTAAGAATTTTAATCACTAATTGAAAATATACCTCCACATAATGAGTCAGCTGTAACACCTGTGTTGCAATTGAGAGTGCAGAACTAGTTAAGAAGCAAGTGAGGTGGCTCGTGACTGGCTCGGGCGGACGTGTGGGCGGGACCTCGATACCGCCGCTCCGCCGCTGGCCATTAATAACGTCAGAAACTCAAAATGGCGAAAGTGTAGACGCATAGTCTACTTTACAGTCAACTAGGGTTACAACAGGTAGCTGTATAATGGCTAAATAGTTAAAATAGTTAGCTAAAAGTAAAGGTTTATTAGTTAAAATACTTAACGTTAGCTAAAAGTAAAGGTTAAACCGGTCAGCGTTGGCTAAAAGTAAATAGTTCCCGTTAACTCAAAATATTTGGTTAATGGTCAAAGCAGTGAGTGAAAAATAATTGCTGAAAATGGTTGGTTAGCTAACAATAATGTATAAATGATTAAAACTTCTAATGTTCCCACTCCAAGAGGTACGAATGCATACAGCATGAAAGCAATTCATAAAACTTATTTGCAACATGACAGTGGTACTAGATCTCACTTCCTTAGACAAGGCTGTGAAGGTATATCAGACAAACAAGGTAATGGAACCACTGCATTAACGCACAATAACATTATGAGAATATCATCTACCGTTAATTCCCAGGTGTAGTAATTGATATGCACGATTAGAGGGAGAGTTGATTGTTATCAATAATAAATGGTGTGTGTGTGTGTGTGTGTGTGTGTGTGTGTTTTGAGAGCGCTCCAGGCACTGGTTTCAAGTGTTGTTTTCCGAGGACAGAGGAATGGCTTATTCAAATGCTGGGGTTATCTGAGGTGACAGACACAACATTTTACAGGGAAAGGTTTGCATTTGATGTGATGGATAGAGATACAGAGGGTGTATCAACGTGTTAACCTGTGAACGTCCACGTGAAACTAAATAACAAGTCACCTCTATATTAAAAGTCTCTTTTACCTCAGCTGACCCCGATGACACATCTCTTTTGTGCTATGCCACATGACTGAGGGAACACAAACTTCTTTTATTCAATGTAGCTTGAAGTATGATTTCCTTTTTCAGAGCTCTGTATTATTTGTATGTATGACATGTTGCCAGCAAAGTACCAGCCTCACCATCTTGACTAACACGATTATATGCCTCAAGAAGATTATTATTATAATAAAAATATTTTGGCAAAAGTGATCTGCATGAAGCATTGCTGTATTTCCTACCAAACATTTCTGTTCAATTCATTTCTGATACAACAGAAAATAAATGTCGTCTTTCTCTGTCTATTCCAGTCTGTGGTCCCAGTATCGACATCCGAAATGACATCAGCGAGTTCAGGCGGCTGGAGAACTGTACGGTGGTGGAGGGCTACCTGCAGATCCTCCTCATCAACGACAAGACCAACAACATCCACCAGGAGGCCTTTCGCTCCCTTAGTTTCCCAAAGCTGGCCGTCATCACTGACTACCTGCTGCTGTTTCGTGTCTCGGGCCTGGACAGCCTCAGCATGCTCTTCCCCAACCTGAGTGTCATACGTGGGCGCAATCTCTTCTACAACTATGCCCTGGTGATCTACGAGATGACCAGCCTGAAGGACATCGGCCTGTACAACCTAAGGAACATCACCCGGGGAGCCATGCGGATCGAAAAGAACCCTGAGCTCTGCTACCTAGACTCAGTGGACTGGTCTCTTATTATGGATGCTGAGTTCAACAACGTTATCAATGGGAATAAGAAGGCAGAGGAGTGTGACAATGTCTGCCCAGGCATCATGGAGGATAACCCTCTTTGTCAGAGGACGTCATTCAATGACAACTACGACTACCGCTGTTGGACCTCCAGCCAGTGCCAGAAAGGTAACGTCTATTCTGTTTTTGTTTTATACTTTATCCCAGCACATGATGTTGAGAAAGAACAAAGCAGCTTTAAATGTTATATTTGCCAAATGCATTTAGATTTTGTACGGCGGTGTGCAACATTTTGGGATACAGTAAATGTGGATGTGACTTTGATCAATGTAGGTGGTTTCCAGTCTTATAAACATTCTGAAATTGTGCATTTTTTCACTGGCGAACAAATCCCATGAATCTATGCAGTGTTTTTCCTTCATTTCCGTCAGGCTGCAGGATTGTCCACGGGCCAGTGCAAACATTTCCTCTCTGTTCATTATGTAGACCTTGTCTTTAGATCAGGCTATTTGTGGAGTGAAGGATGGCTGCAATATAGAGCACCGGGTATTAGAAAGGCATACTCAGTTGAGGTTAACGTTGCTCTGCCAAGAAATGAGCTAGTCTACCTGTCTGGACCATGTCAGTTAAATATTTGCCTGAGGGACTTTTTGCAATTCATGAAAAGGGGTATATTGAAGAATTTGGGGGAGGGTCATCCTTGTATAACTTCGGCCCCGCGGTAGGGTCATGCATTTTTAAAAACAGTTCAGAGGAGGGTCATATCATCTATCCATATTCGCACGGCTCTCAAGGCGAGTGAAGCAGCTTGTAGCAACATTACATATCTTCACCGCTCTTACTCTCTCAGATTACAGACTGAGAGACAGCTTGTGCATTTTGATTAGAAATTGGGACGACCAGATCAGCTGTCTCATGTCTCTTCAAAACTACTGTAGCAGGCAGTTCAATCCTTTTTTAAAATGTACTCCTGCAGCCTGTTTGACACAGACAGACTAAGCTGAGCTATTGGTGAAATGTTCCGTTCTTCCTTACATAAAATCCAACTATTTTTTAAATATCATGTTTCTTTAGCTGTATCGCCTTTCATGCAGCTATTATGAAGATATCCAGCCCCTAGTTGTTTCCTTAGGCCATCTATGCTTTGTTTTTTAACATTTCTCCAAGGGTGAAGAGGATTTGCAGAGGTTGTTTTGATCAGTGTCGAATTCCTTCACAGACTGCACTTAAGAATAACACACAATTCCCTATCTCACCAGTGGAAATGGTAATCACAAAAAATCGGAAAAGACTATTAACATATCTTTAAATCTTTTTACAAATACACAAAGGAATTAAAGCATATTAATGGTGCTTCAATTTCATTAGCTGTCTGTATCATAAATATCACAAAAAAGTGCCAGTGCTAGAGGTATTTTAGAGGTTTTTATTACATGTAGAAATGATTAATGAAATGCCTTTCAGATGCCGACAACAAGATATAACAGGACAAGTTATGGTCTTCCATCTTTCTGCTGCTTTGCTTTGATAGATGTTTTTTATTTGAGGTTTGGATGGTGATGTTGGATCAATGCTGTGTCGTCAGGGTTGCGTACTATTTCCCTTTCATTTCTTAATTTGCCATTAACACTTTGGTACTTGAGAGGGACTGGCCTCTTATATTTCCCTCTCTCTTGAGTCTGAATATCCATACTGTATTGTGGAGTAAAAAAAAGATTCATAGATAAATGTTTTTTTTGGTGAAAAGGAATATATAAACTAAGACCTTTTGGCATAGAAAACTTGTTTCAGACTGCTGCTGCGGGCCATTTTCTCTGTCCTATTATCATCTGTCTGAAATAATGGTGGGAAAATGTCCCTAAAGCCCTTTTCGATTACAGACCTGTGTACAGCTCCCATGGTCAGTTGGGAGTCTTAAACACCACCCTCCTCCACCCCTGGGGACCCTCAGAACAAATAGTGGAAATCAAGCTTGTGTCCTTTTCCTGGTGATAATGTCCCTCTCTATAGAAAAGCTATGGTGTTTATTGTTATGCCTCTGTTTTTTCTTGTCTCCTACATTTTGCTTTATTTGCTAAACGCTACATTGTGAATGACCTTCAAGTCACGTCTGCTCTTCCCACACTAGATACTATGTAGTGTTTTGCAGTCTGTTGTTCTCACATGCCGGACTTCAGAGGCAGAGCAGGAGTATTGTTTGAACCAGTTCACTTCTCTGTGAGGCCCAGGCCGAGGTCAGGGTGATTGCATTCATCTAGAGGGCCCTGAGGTCTCAAGGCTGCAGATAAAGGCTCCGGGGAGCAACACAGTGGGAAAAAAAGGAGGAGTTACTGATTCCATAACAGAACAGAATGAAGCTAGAGCAAGTCTATGAGGTCTGTAAATATTCCAGGCTTCATGCAAAGATAACATTTCTCACCCTGTCTTTTTATGGCTTGATGTGTCTACCTCTCTCCTTCCTGCTTAAGATTCCTCTCTCCTCCCTCCACCCCTCTGCGTAATTGTCTTGTTTTTCTCCAGTACAGATGTTCCTTCAAGGGCATTCAGTGGTTTTATAGTCAATATGGCCCGGTCTCCTCTTTAATTACACTACATGAGGAGGGAGCTCTGTCTGCCTAGCACATTACTTTAGCCTCCGGGCCTTAAGTGCTTCACAGGGCAACAACAAAACTCCTCTTTCCACATGATGCCAAAACTGTGGGAAAAAAGTATCTGGTATACCAGATACTTTTTTCCCACAACAGTTTTGGGTGTATTAGATGTGTATATATATGATGCTGGACAGAAACGAACAACTGAAAGGTTAATTCTGTGCATGTGGCTGGATGGAAGTGAGTGGGAGTGACTGTGTGTAGGGATGTGCAGATTGGAGCGGAGGTTCTGGGTGCTTTTTAGTGGCAGGCAGCGATGCGAAGAGAGGCCCTGACTGAGGAGCCATGTGCAGAACGAGGGTGCACTGAGGGGAAATGTCAGACAAATGTCAAGTATACATATACAAGCTCAACAGCAAGCTCTCACTAAAGCGCAGTGCTTGGTGGGTTGAAAATGTGCCCACGTCACTCCCCCTTTTCTGCCCCCCCCCCCCCATGCTTCCTCCTAAATCCTCCCTGTATTCCCTGCTGCTGCTTTCCCCACTTCGTACCATGTCTGTCTGTTTCTTCCTCACTAACGTTTTCCACTTCACTTAGCCTCAGCCTTGATCTGAACTCCGTTTATCCTTGTCAGTTTTTCTGCTAGTGTTTCCTCTATTTTCACCTCACTCTTTTCTGCAGGGCTTATCAGGGGCTGTTAACAGCTCTGGCTGTCAGATATCTCTGCTCTGTTTACTTGTCAGGAGACACTCTCTCATCACTGCAGCGGTCACAGCCAGCTGGCTTGTTTGGCCAAGCCGTGGATCCTTTGACATAGCACACTGTTTGCTTTGAGTTTTGGGGGGACCCCATGACTGAAAACTGGCCTGCTTCAAATAGCCCTCTCAGGTCTCCGTGTCTGTGTTTTCTGCAGACAGGCCTCCCTTCTGCCCCTGAACCCGAGCCAAAGCCAGATAGACAAGAGGCTTTAAAATTAGGTAGACGAGCAGGAAACCATGCTGCTGTGTCCATGCCAGTCTCAGGGCAGGTTAGTCTTCATACCTCCACGAGGAAGCACACACTTTCACACACGGTAGTCCTCACATAGCTCACATGTTTTCTTATGTTATAGAATACTAACTTACTGTAGGTTGTCTGATTTTAAGGAATATCACGTGCTGAATATTGTATTTTGATATCAATAGAAAATGTCAGAAGATAAGTCTGACTGTGAATGTTTAATGAATCAAAAAATTCCAAATACTGACACTGCCTTTGCTTTTTGATAAAGCAAAACTTGGTTGGAATTGGTGCAGCAGTGTCAGTTTGAATTTTAGCGTCTGCCCTCTAGTGATGTAAGGTGAAATGTGACGTAAGGAGACCTGCTGTCCTGTTGTGCCACAGACAGTCTGTGCTCTGTGTATCCTCGTAGTGAAGAAATGCAGCAAAGCACTGGCCCGGGAGACTTTTGCATTTGATAATATGTTTACTCCCTCCTTGCCAGAGACCCACTTGATATCTCTGGTCTGAGTGCTCTGACCTAAGGCCACTTCACAGTAGGATAAAAATTTGTGTTTTAGAGTATGTATTTTTTTACTCTTTCTGCTCCTTTTTTCTACATTTTGATATCTTTTGATAGAGTTGATAAGGCTGTCAATATTCAATTGTTTTTATTATTGTCAACAAATCCAATAAAAGAACCAAAACCAACAATCTTTTTCTTAATGCCTTCTGATTTCCCTCCACTGTCTGTGGCACTCTGCCCTAACCCCACTGGTAAGATGGGAAATATGGCCATTTACAAAAACAAGGCTATGTCATTTTCTTTTAAAGCTGTAGGTCTTAGCAAATGTTATTTGAGATTTATTGACGATAAGAAAAATACACTATCACAAGACTTATCTTTTAAAACAGCAGAGTTACATCCATCTAATTGTTAACAGCATTTTCATTTTATTCTATTTTCCCTGTTGGTTGTTTTCCTGGTTCTCGGTGCTAATTAATTAATTCAGAATGTTATTGACAAGAACATGATTTAATCAGAAAACAGAATGTAAATCCTCCTTCCCCTCAGAGGCTTTTGTAAATTGATTTCTGGAGCTACCACATAGCTCATGCTTGTTGTTGTCAAGATTAGTTGCAGAAAGATCGTACTGAGTAGAAATTAGGCTCCGTTTGTGCCGGCTAAGAGCTAGATTTATTGACACTTAAGGAATAAGGCATGTATGTTAAGTGTGGTGGAATGAGTCTGCCCCTTTAAGCATATAAGGTAGAAATTCCTGACGGCTTACTCATTGCAGTTGAACTTGTGAGAGGATAGAGAGGGGGAAATACACAGCACATGCTGTATGTGCTGACCACATGTGCAGGGCCATACAGAGACTATTTGTTGGCAATAAGACGGAGCTAAACTGATGGTGGGGATGATATTGATGTAGGTCTATGTTCTGTTTGATTGAGGTGACTGTGCACCAAGGCGGGCCGAGTTCTTATGATCATCTGTCAGTCGTTCTTTGTTTAACCAACATGCAACAGCAGACACACGGAAGCTTTTAAATAGTTAATGGCTTTTCTGAAGCTTATCAAAGTCCTGTGGTC